ACTTTCTTTCTTTATTTTGAGACACAGTCTTACTCTGCCGACAAGACTGGAGTACAGTGGCATGATCTCGGCTCACTGCAACCTCAGCCTCCCAGTTTAAGCAATTCTAGTGCCTCAGCCTCCCAAGCAGCTGGGATTACAGGCATGTGCTACAATGCCTAACACATTTTTGTATTTTTAGTAGAGATGGGATTTTGACATGTTGGTCAGGCTGGTCTCGAACGGAGGGCCTCAAGTGATTTACCTACCTCGGCCTCCCAAAGTGCTGGGATTACAGGTGTGAGCCACCTCAATGCAAAGTATTTCTCTGCAGAACTGTTCTCAACACATACTATATACAGCTACCTGTCTTGGTCTGCCCAACCAGATTATAATTCTATCTATTTCTTCTATATAAACCCATTACTAACACCTAAACTCTTTGGCTTACAAAAGGGAAATAAGTACTTATTTAACTATAAATCAATCTGATTAAATGTCCCATTCTCTATCACCAGTCTCTACCCAGACTAATATCACAATTTTTTACATCAATTAGGGGTTACTGTGTCCTTTATTCAAAATAGGAATAGGACTTCTAGAAATTAAGAGAGAAGGTAAGGCACAGCTAGAGAGTAAGGATATGGCAGTCAAGTAGGTATCCAGAAAATAAAAACAACCAGAATCTTTTATCATTACTCATTCCCATTACAAGCCAGCAATTCTTTTTGCTAATGTTCCTCCTTTTCGCCTTTTCCAACAAATACCAATTTTTAACATCTGCTTCACTCTTTGTGAGCCAACTGTGCAACTTTCTTGACAGGACTATAAAAAACAAGATAAGAATTAAAACTACCCTTGTAACAGTCTCCGAGCAAGCCCTCACATCTTTTGATGATTTCATTAAAATCCTAAAGAATAAAATCAAATAAAACTAAGGGAACAAAGTGAACTTACCACCAAATAATGGTTCTGGTTCCACCAGTATTTCTTGCTTTTGAGGAATTGGGGCACGAACTTCTTCTCTATTAAAAAAAATGGAAAAATAAAAAATGAAAACTGTTTTCTGCTGTTTGATTTCTGTAATTACTGTGAATGCATTCAAATTAACTTAGTGACTTTTAGAAGCATAGTAATGATGATAAATAGGTTTTTTGGTTTTTTTGGGGGAGGGGAAGGAGACAGCCTTTCACTCTATCACCCAGGCTGGAGTGGACTGGCACGATCTTGGCTCACTGCAACCTCTACCTCCCGAGTTAAAGCGAATCTCACGCCTCAGCCTCCCTAGTAGCTGGGACTACATGTATGCACCATCACACCTGGCTAAATTTTTTCATATTTGGGTCACGCCATGTTGGCCAGGCTGGTCTCGAACTCTTGAGTTCAGGCAATCCACCCACCTCAGCCTCCCCAAGTGCTAGGATTACAGGCATGAG